CTGTTGTGTTGCTGCAGCTGTTGTTGTGGTATTAGTTGTAGTTGTTGTTGAAGTGGTGGTTGTTGTGGTTGATGCTCTGGTTGTGGTTGATGCTTTGGTTGTGGTTGATGCTCTGGTTGTGGTTGATGTTTTGGTTGTGGTTGACGCTCTGGTTGTGGTTGATGCTTTGGTTGTGGTTGATGCTTTGGTTGTCGTTGATGCTCTGGTTGTGGTTGATGCTTTGGTTGTAGTTGATGCTCTGGTTGTGGTTGATGCTTTGGTTGTGGTTGATGCTGTAGTTGTGACTGATGTATCTCCAGCTTCTGCTCTAGTTGATGTTGTGGTGATTGTTGTATTGGTGGTGGTTGTAGTGGTTGTTTTTGATGCTGTTTGATGTTGGTGATTTGCTAGTTGATGCTGGATTGGTTGTTGTGCTGGTGGTTGACGTTGTGGTAATTGTGGTTGCTGTAGTAGTGTGGGTTGAATATTAAAGGCTGTGTTGTGGTTGAGTTGATTGTGGGGGGTTGTGGTTGCTGTGGTAGCTGTGGTTGTGTTAATTGTGGGGGTAGTGGTTGCTGTGTTGATTGTGGGAGTTGTGGTTGTTGAGGTGGTTGTGATTGTTGTTTCTGTGGTAGAGGTGATTGTTGTGGTTGTGGTAGATGTGGTTGCTGCGTTGCGTGTGGTTGTGATTTCTGACTCTCTTGTGGTGGTTGTGGATGCTGTGGTTGTGATTGCTGTTGTTTTTGATGTTGGGGTGATTGTGGCTGCTGTTCTGGTTGTAGTGGCAGCAGTAATTGTGGTGGCTGTGATTTTTGTGGTTCATGGGTTGGTCGTGGTTGTAGAGGTTGTTTTGGTTGTGATTGCTGTAGTGGTGATTGTGGTTGCTGTGGCTGCGGTTGTAGTGGAGGTTGTGGTTGATGTGATTGTGGTGGTTGTGGCTGCTCTGGTTGATGTTGCTCTGGTTTTTGTGGTTCTGGGGCTTGTAATTGTTGTGGTTGTAGTTGCTGCTGTGGTTGCTTTGGTTGTTGTGGTTGCTGTGATTGTAGTTGGTGTGGCAGTTGTGGTTGTTGCTGGGGTTGTTGGTGTGGTTGTGGATGCTGGAGTTGCTCTTGTGGTTGTGGTTTTAGCTGTTTTTGTGGTTGCAATTGCTGTTGTGATTGTGGTTGGTGTTGTAATTGCTGTTGTGATTGTGGTTGATGTTGTGGATGCTGGGGCTCTTGTGTTAGTGATAGCAACTGCGTTGGTAGTGGTTGTAGCAGTGAAAGTTGTGGTTGTTGTGGTAGTTGTGGTTGAATATTTTCAGACTGTGACCTTGGTTGAGGTGGTTGTGGTTGATGTAAGATTTGCTTTAGTTCTCGCTGTTTTGGTTGTGATTGCAGTGATTGTGGTTGTAATTGTGGTTGAGGATCGAACTGTATCTGCATGTTTTGCTGTGATAGTGGTTGTGATAGTTGGGATTGTGGTTGTGGTAGCTGGGATTGTGGTTGTGCTTGTGATAGTGCTTGGTATAGTTGGGGTTGCGTTTGTGATAGTTGTGGTCCTGGTAGATGTGATGGAAGTGAATGCGGCGTTTGGAATTGTGGTTGTGACATTAGGGATTCTGATTGGGTTTGGGATTTTGGTTGTTGAGATATATGGAACTGCGGTTGTGACAGATTGGACTGAGATTTTGATAGCTGAGATTGTGGTTGTGACATTTGGGATTGTGGTTGTGTCAGTTGATAGAGTGGTTGTGGTAGCTGAGATTGTGGTTGCGAGATTTGTAATTGTATTTTTGATAACTGAGATTGTGGTTGTGATAGCTGTGATTGTGGTTGTGAATGCTGTGATTGTGGTTGTGATAGCTGCGATTGTGGTTGTGATACCTGTGATTGTAGTTGTGATAGATGTAGTTGTGGTTGTAATAGTTGTGACTGTGGTTGTGATAGATGGGATTGTGGTAGTGGTTGTAACTGCTGAAGGAGTAGCGATTGTTGTAGTTGTAGTGACGTATACAGCTGTATTAACTGCTGCGATTGTAGTAATGGTTGAGGCTGTATTAATTTCAGAAATTGTGGGTGTGGTTGCTGGTCACGTTGTGATTGTGGTTGCTGGTGTGCTTGTTGCTGTGGCTGTGCTTGTTGCTGTGGTTGTGATTGTTGCTGTGGTTGTTGGTATGGTTGCATGAATGGTGAAAGGTGTGGTTGCAAGTATGGCTGCAGGTGTGGTTGCAGGTATGGTTGAAGGTGTGGCTGCCATTGTGGTTGCTGGTGTAATTGCACGTATGGTTCTTGGTGTAAGTGCACGTATGGTTGTTGGTATAAGTGCACGTACGGTTGCAAATGTTGTTGCTGATGTAACTGCACGTATGGTTGCAAGTGTGGCTGCAGGTATGGTTGCTGGTGTAACTCCGCATATGGTTGCTGTAGTGGCTGCCAATATGGTTGCTGGATTGGCTGCAAGTGTGGTTGCTGGTATGGCTGCTGGCGTAACTGTACGTATGGTTGCTGGTGTGGTTGCAGGTGTGGTTGTCCACCTACGTTCTGCTGATCCAATTCTTTGTGTGTTCGTTGTACTGGTATGTTTGCACAAATGATGATGAATCCAGAGAAAGAAGCCACACCATCTACCCCAGCCACACTGCCAGCCTCACCACCCCAGCTGCCGGCGCCACATTCTGAAAAAAAACACAATATGTATATAAATACCTTCCTTCGCAATCAATTTCCACTGTTAACATGTTAGAAGCCCAATTGATACGTCAGATTATTGTGTAGATGTAGCTACAACGAGCGGTAGATGGGGTACAAGGAGAGTGTCAGCAGTAAGAGAGAAGGAAAGTTTTATAAATTCGAGGAGAAAGGTTAGATATATGAAAATGTTGGTAGAAAGGTGGGGTAGTGAGAGTATTGATAATGAGAGTGAAGATGTATGGGGTAGGTGTGAGAGTGTGGTATTAGAGTGGACAGAAGAAGTTTGTAGTTGTAAGAGGGTGGGTGCAGGAGGGAAGAGGAGTAATTGGTGGAATAATGAAATGAATAGAGCAGTAAGAGAGACAATGCTAGCATATGAGAGGCTTTTACAAAGTAGAACTGATATAAGGAAGGTGGAGAATGTGGATTTAAGAACGTAGTGTTAGAATGTTCAACAGAAGTTTGTGAATATGGAAGGGTGGGTGCAAGGGAAAAGAGGAATGATTGGTGGAATGATGAGGTATGGGAGAGGCACATGAGAGGTTTTCCCAAAGCAGAAGTGATAAAAGGAGGGAGAAGCATATGGAGAGTAAAAGAGATGTTAAGTGAATGGTAGAGTAAAAAGCGAGAACACGTGATTCTGTCAACAAATATTACAGAGAATAAGACAAAGTTTTAGAGTGAGAATGATAAGCTGAGAGAGTCAAGGGAACGATTGTATTTACAAGTTGAAAATAGAAGAGGAGAGTTAGTAGATGGAAAGTTGAAGGTTCGAGAAGATTATATGCGATAATCAAAATTATTGTCCATGATAAATTATCCTGGGTTACCCTAATTATCCTAATTATTCTGACAAGACTCGTCATGAGGTCTGGCAGATCCATTATGTGGTCTGGTTAAAGACAGATGGCTGGTCAGCCAGACAGCCAGCTAGTCAGTCAGTCAGCCAACAGGCCAGTCAGTCAGCCAGCCAGTTAGTCAAGTCATCCATTCAGCCAGTCAGCCAGTCAGTCAACAAGCCAGCCAGCCAGCCAGCCAGCCAGCCAGCCAGCCAGCCATCTGGCTGGCTCTAATCTTCGCGGTACAGTACACTGCTGAAGACCCCTTGTTGATTTTGCTGATGCTGCTGCCTAGGCTGCCACAGCCTTCCAGATGCTGCAGCAGCCTGCCAGATGTTGTCACAGCCTGCCAGATGCTGCCACAACCTGCCAGATGTTCTCAAAGCCTGCCAGATGCTGCCACAACCTGCCAGTTCTTCCCACAGCCTGCCAGATACTGCGACAATCTGCCAGATGCTGCCACAGCCTGCCAGACCTAGCCACAGCCTGCCAGACCCTGCCACAGCCTGCCAGACCCTGCCACAGCCTGCCAGACCCTGCTACAGTCTGTCCTGAATCGTTAATGCTTTACCAACGCCAGGTATTTATACCTGGTAACACTGGTGACCTAGACTAGGATCCTGGTCCCTGGCAACACTGATGACCCGGACCAGGATCCTGGTACCTGGCAACACTGGTGACAAGGACCAGGTTCCTGGTACAGGTCATCGAGCAACACTGGTGACCTGGACAAGGCTTCCATTACAGGTCACTCTCCAGAAGCAACCAAGTTGTTGAGTATTCAAACTGGAGGCGGTGACTCGACCCAGGCAAAATATTGGTGGACCAGACACTAGTGAACACCAGTGAGTGCTTACACACACACATACACAGACGACAGACAGACAGACAGACAGACACACACACACACACACACACACACACACACACACACACACACACACACACACACACACACACACGCGCGCGCGTTAGGTAGTATTTCTTCAGCCACAGAGTAGTCAGGAAGTGGAATAGTTTGGGAAGTGATGTAGTGGAGGCAGGATCCATACATAGCTTTAAGCAGAGGTATGAGAAAGCTCACGGCTCAGGGAGAGTGATCTAGTAGCGATCAGTGAAGAGGCGGGGCCAGGAGCTCGGACTCGACCCCCGCAACCTCAACTAGGTGAGTACACACACACACACACACACACACACACACACACGCACGCACGTTTCGTAAGATTTCAGAGGAGTTTCGTAGCAGTTCAAGACGTTTTTGAAACATTTTAAAATATTTTTGATAAATTTCAAAGGGTCTTCAAAATATTTCACTCCCGTTTATCACAACATTTCACTCCCGTTTATCACAACATTTCACTCCCGTTTATCACAACATTTCACTCCCGTTTATCACAACACTTCACTCCCGTTTATCACAACATTTCACTCCCGTTTATCACAACACTTCACTCCCGTTTATCACAACATTTCACTCCCGTTTATCACAACATTTCACTCCCGTTTTTCACAACACTTCACTCCCGTTTATCACATTTCACTCCCGTTTATCACAACACTTCACTCCCGTTTATCACAACATTTCACTCCCGTTTATCACAACACTTCACTCCCGTTTATCACAACATTTCACTCCCGTTTATCACAACATTTCACTCCCGTTTATCACAACATTTCACTCCCGTTTATCACAACACTTCACTCCCGTTTATCACAACATTTCACTCCCGTTTATCACAACATTTCACTCCCGTTTTTCACAACATTTCACTCCCGTTTATCACAACACTTCACTCCCGTTTATCACAACATTTCACTCCCGTTTATCACAACATTTCACTCCCGTTTATCACAACATTTCACTCCCGTTTATCACAACATTTCGCTCCCGTTTATCACAACACTTCACTCCCGTTTATCACAACATTTCACTCCCGTTTATCACAACATTTCGCTCCCGTTTATTACAACTTTTCACCCCCGTTTATCACAACATTTCACTCGAGTTTATCACAACATTTCACTCCCGTTTATCACATCATTTCACTCCCGTTTATCACAACATTTCACTCCCGTTTATCACAACATTTTGCTCCCGTTTATTACAACTTTTCACCCACTCTTATTACAACATTTCACCCCCGTTTATCACAACATTTCACTCCCGTTTATCACAACATTTCACTCCCGTTTATCACAACATTTCACTCCAGTTTATCACAACATTACGCTCCCGTTTATTACAACATTTCACCCTCGTTTATCACAACATTTCACTCCCGTTTATCACAACATTTCACTCCCGTTTATCACAACATTACGCTCCCGTTTATTACAACATTTCACCCTCGTTTATCACAACATTTCACTCCCGTTTATCACAACATTTCACTACCGTTTATCACAACATTTCACTCTCGTTTATCACAATATTTCACTCCCGTTTATCACAACATTTCACTCCCGTTTATCACAACATTTCACTCCCGTTTATCACAACATTTCACTCTCGTTTATCACAACATTTCAACCTCGTTTATCACAACATTTCACTCCCGTTTATCACAACATTTCACTCCCGTTTATCACAACATTTCACTCCCGTTTATCACAGCACTTCACTCCCGTTTATCACAACATTTCACTCCCGTTTATCACAATATTTCACTCCCGTTTATCACAACATTTCACTACCGTTTATCACAACATTTCACTCCCGTTTATCACAACATTTCACTCTCGTTTATCACAATATTTCACTCCCGTTTATCACAACATTTCACTCCCGTTTATCACAACATTTCGCTCCCGTTTATCACAACATTTCACTCCCGTTTATCACAACATTTCGCTCCCGTTTATTACAACTTTTCGCCCCCGCTTATTACAACATTTCACCCCCGTTTATCACAACATTTCACTCCCGTTTATCACAACATTTCACTCCCGTTTATCACAACATTTCACTCCCGTTTATCACAACATTTCGCTCCCGTTTATCACAACATTTCGCTCCCGTTTATCACAACATTTCACTCCCGTTTATCACAACATTTTGCTCCCGTTTATTACAACTTTTCACCCACTCTTATTACAACATTTCACCCCCGTTTATCACAACATTTCATTCCCGTTTATCACAACATTTCACTCCCGTTTATCACAACATTTCACTCCCGTTTATCACAACATTACGCTCCCGTTTATTACAACATTTCACCCTCGTTTATCACAACATTTCACTCCCGTTTATCACAACATTTCACTCTCGTTTATCACAACATTTCACACCCGTTTATCACAACATTTCACTCCCGTTTATCACAACATTTCACTCCCGTTTATCACAATATTTCACTCCCGTTTATCACAACATTTCACTCTCGTTTACCACAACATTTCACTCCCGTTTATCACAACATTTCACTCTCGTTTATCACAACATTTCAACCTCGTTTATCACAACATTTCACTCCCGTTTATCACAACATTTCACTCCCGTTTATCACAACATTTCACTCCCGTTTATCACAGCACTTCACTCCCGTTTATCACAGCACTTCACTCCCGTTTATCACAACATTTCACTCCCGTTTATCACAACATTTTGCTCCCGTTTATTACAACTTTTCACCCACTCTTATTACAACATTTCACCCCCGTTTATCACAACATTTCATTCCCGTTTATCACAACATTTCACTCCCGTTTATCACAACATTACGCTCCCGTTTATTACAACATTTCACCCTCGTTTATCACAACATTTCACTCCCGTTTATCACAACATTTCACTCCCGTTTATCACAACATTTCGCTCCCATTTATTACATTTCACCCTCGTTTATCACAACGTTTCACTCCCGTTTATCACAACATTTCACTCCCGTTTATCACAATATTTCACTCCCGTTTATCACAACATTTCACTCTCGTTTATCACAACATTTCACTCCCGTTTATCACAACATTACGCTCCCGTTTATTACAAAGTTTCTCCCCCGTTTATC